CTTTCTCTGCTGTCTCTCTTCTCTCTCTCTAGTGTCTCTTTTCTCACTTTCTCTGCTGTCTCTCTTCTCTCTCTTTGCTTTCTCTTCTCTCACTTTCTCTGCTGTCTCTCTTCTCTCTCTCGACTGTCTCTTCTTTCACTTTCTCTGCTTTCTTTCTTATCTCTCTCTGCTGCCTCTTCTCTCACTCTCTCAGCTGTGTCTCTTCTCTCAGTTTCTCTGCTGTCTCTTCTCTTTCTCTGCTGTCTCTTCTCTTTCTCTGCTGTCTCTCTTCTCTCTCTGTGCTGTTTTTCTTCTCTCTCTCTGCTGTTTTTCTTCTCTCTCTCTGCTGTCTTTCTTCTCTCTCTCTGCTGTCTTTCTTCTCTCTCTGCTGTCTCTTCTCACTTTCTCTGCTGTCTCTCTTCTCTCTCTCTAGTGTCTCTTTTCTCACTTTCTCTGCTGTCTCTCTTCTCTCTCTTTGCTTTCTCTTCTCTCACTTTCTCTGCTGTCTCTCTTCTCTCTCTCGACTGTCTCTTCTTTCACTTTCTCTGCTTTCTTTCTTATCTCTCTCTGCTGCCTCTTCTCTCACTCTCTCAGCTGTGTCTCTTCTCTCAGTTTCTCTGCTGTCTCTTCTCTTTCTCTGTTGTCTCTCTTCTCTCTCTGTGCTGTTTTTCTTCTCTCTCTCTGCTGTTTTTCTTCTCTCTCTCTGCTGTCTTTCTTCTCTCTCTCTGCTGTCTTTCTTCTCTCTCTGCTGTCTCTTCTCTCACTTTCTCTGCTGTCTCTCCCCTGTCTGTCTTTTCTTACCTCCACTGCAGCAGCTTCCATGGTCTCCTCTCGTGCGCCGCCGCGGTGCTCATGTGGCCGAATGTGGCCGACGTTGCAAACGGGGAGAGGTGTCCCGCCCCTTCCCTTCTGCGGTGTCTGACACATTCACCCGGCAGCCGCGGGAGGACAGGACACAGGTCAGTGAGTCGATCGCAATCTACCAGTGCTCACTTTGCGATCGACCTAATGGGCAGCCCTGACCTAAACAAATTCTCGGAGACCAAAAATGTGGGCAACCAAAATACTCAACTTAGAGATGTAGCAGAAATATAAATGGAGAAATAATGTCACCAGCACACCATACGAGTAATTTAGCAACAGTCCATTTAATGACACATTGCCATTCCATGTGTCATTAAATGGACTGTTGCTAAATTACTCGTATGGTGTGTTGGTGACATTATTTCTCCATTTGTGTTATTCACGGTGCCGTCCGTGATCACTACAGGCACCCACCCGTTACGGTAAGGACTGCAGCAAGATCTCTGGTTTCTAGTAGCAGAAATATAAACACAATTTTGTTGAAACATACTTTATTTTTTATGTATTGTCTTTTCACTTTTATTTTCTTAATACTATTTGCTTAAACAGCACTAAATAGTTAAAAAGTATATGTAAAGTCAAAACCTTAAGTTTTGGATAGAATAAGGAAAGGGAGAAATATCTATCAGGTTATGATTTATTG